CTCCAAATGTCAAATCTTTTGACCACAGACCACAAGTCATTTCAAATCTGTCCAAAAATGACAAATCAGAATGTACGACTCATGATATTACTAGAGAATCAATTACAAGAGCTTTCCAGACTTTCTGCATCGAAAGTTTTGCAATTATGTCTAAATAAGAATTTGAAATTTCGGATATATCGCATGCAGAACGAATTCCAGACACTATACAACAAATAGAGCTCATATCCAAAATACTTAGCACATTAAATCTTGAATTTCTTGCAAAAGAAAAATATAAAAACATTAACTTCTCAGCAAATAATGGAGATTACTACTCTCCCTAAAGAGATTGTCGAACACCAAAACTCAAGCCTCTTTCTCTTGGCGAGAACCTCTATCATCACTTCCGAATTAACCTCCAACTTTAAATGCATTCTGCAACTCCTGTAAGTTCAACAGAATTCCGGACGTGGTCTATACACTCAACGAACTCTAACGCACGTCCGACTTTCTCCTGCAATCAGATCTACTTGTGTCGGCAACAATTTCCCGTCAGTTTTTGGGGTAAATTCAATGTAATGTCGATAGATCGATTCCTTCCGTTGATGTACAAGAACACTCAGACATTGTTGCTGGCTCCACAACCAGGCTGCAGATGCGTTTCAAAATTGTTAGGAAAAGCTCTGGTAAATTGCGATGTTTCCATAACATGAATCAAGAGATCTTTTTTGAACCATCAAACGAGATCCACGTGATCAAAGCTTGCATTTAACCCATTGAAATTAGAAATTGACTTGAATTGGTTCTAATATCGATTCTTTAGATATCTGTGCTTACAAATGCCGAGTTATTGACCATGAGGACCACAAGATGGCTCCAGGAAGTCGCCCTGGATTACGATGACACCGATTTCATCCAGAACGTAATGCGACCATAAACTATTCAATTGTCCAAAACCGTTCGGTTACTATGAATTTTATCGGTGTCCGACATACTATGGAAGATTCTTTGATTATGACGCAAATTAATAAAGAAACTAGATTATTGCCGTTTTGATGGCCATGCCGGAAATAAGACCGCATGTGTCGCGCATGTTTTACATTCAGAATTATTTACAAAGAATCCGGAGCAATGCGTTATTAAACGACATTCCTGCAATTATCCATGAACTGAATCTCAAGATCGGAAAGATGGGATGAAAGACGTGCACTCTTGCGTTTGGGCATTGTCAAACCAGATGAAATAGGCATTGCCACCTTGGAGAGCGAGATGTGTTGTTATAAGGAAAGATGGATAGTGTTTGGAAATTGACGGGTCGACACAAGCCGACAGATAGAATGGAATAACGATTTTGCTCAGGAAAGAATGTTTCTTGCAAGTTCGGAAGAGTTGAATGGAACATTTGGCTGTATCTAGAACATAGGCAGATTTGGATCTTGAAGGTGTGTTTTTGAGGATACCTGGATGACTGTCCACAAATAACAAGGAAAATGATTAGATTGTTGGTTTTGCTTGCGATGGAATTTCGACGTTTTGTCGTCCGGCTGAACAGGAAAAATAATTGGGCCTAGAACGCTTGACTGCGCAAAGAGCTGCGGCAAGTTGGTTTCTATCGCGTATTCAAGAGGCTTCTGCTTGTATAGTCCTGCAATTGTTGTCAACTTGGAACAACCAACCTGGAGTTTCTTGTCTAAATTCTCTAAGTTTGTTTTTTTATATATTATATAAAATAGAACAGATATCGTTTTTCTCGTATGTAATAACAACAAATTAAAAGAATGTTTTTGATAATAAAAATATGCAATAAAATGATGAATGGAATTACTCGCTTCAAATTGCATTTATGTAAATTCTCAAGAATTTTTCGATTTTTCCAAAGAATATGCCCAAAATGAATATAATTGTGTTGATTCCCTGCTCATCATTTTGCAAAATAATGATTGTTATTTCATCATAGAAATATTAGTACCCATACTTGTTAAAATAAATTGCGATGCTCGCTTAATAGAAACATTAGAGGTTTTTGAATTTTTGTATAAATAAGGTGTTATTATTAGTAAGTCATGGAAGGATGCAACATGAATATGTTTGTTTGGTATCAAGAAATTTTGGCACGATTTACTGAGTAAGTCCAGTTAAAATCATAACAAAGATTAAAAAAATTCGATTTACGCAGGAATTTTTTAAAAAAAGAATAAAATAAAAGCTTTAGACAAAAAAAAATAAATTTGGTTATTCTTGTTTTCTTCATCCTCAGCAGCTGGGATGTCATCACTTTATCTTTTAACATCAGGCAGCTACAGAAAGGTTGTTTGTGCTGGTTTCTTTTCTCTGTTGCTGTTTGTGGCTGTTTCTTCTTTTGTTGCTGTGATTATTTGGTGGACTCTTTGCATATTCTTGTTTCTCCTGGTTTTGTGGATTCATTTGGGTGGTCTGATGAGGAGGAAGCTTGTTCTCGTTGCTTCCACTGTGCTTCCTAGGAAGGAAGTGACATTGTACAGATCCTGAATCATTTCCACGTTTAACGGATCTTCTTGTAATTTGCTTGGTTTTATGCTCTGAGGACAATCTCACGGTTCTTCTCGTTGTTCCTTCGAGAACATGTATTTCTGCTGCAATAACATCGGCTTTTCGGCTCTTGAGTCGTTGAATTTTGTAACTTCGAGCTTTATGTTGGGTAAAGAAGTTTATTCTTTGGCACGCCGGTTAGTCATGGTTGAGTACGGTTTTGTGCAATTCTTACGCTTCTTCTTGCTCTAAGTTGTTCAGCTTCTGCTACCTTTCTATAGCTGAGTTTCATCATAAATGAGCGGCGAGGGCGAGAGTTCTTGCTGTTTCGCGAAGTTCGATGAGTTTGTTTTGGATCTTCTGTATTTGTCTGGGCATTCTTTCAGCCACTTTCTTTTCAATTTTCATTTATTTTGTTTGGCGTTTTTTCTTGCATTGCTTTGTTGCTTTGAATTTGTATCCTCATGAATTTTCTTTGAAGTTTTTCTTCTAATTTTTTGGCTTCTTTTTTCGTTGAGAGAGTTCTGAGTTGAATTCGTTTTGTTGTTCTTTTTTAGTAATTTGTTTTTGGGCGGGTTTGATCTTCTTGCTTGCATGCTTCAGAATAGCTGGTCAGCATCCTTGGCGGCCAATATAATCTTCTTTATCAAGGCAATACATCTTATTTTGTCATTAATTTACAAAATAAGGCAAATCATCATTGCTATAGATTCAATAGATTTCTTCTGCATAACAGTTTGTTTCTCATTCTCGGTAATCCGCATCCGATTTAGGCTGGCGATTGCTCTGTTTTGGCGCCTCCCCTGACATTTTCTATTTAAAAAACGTATTTTTTTCACAATTCTCAAAAATTTCGCTTGTGGTGGATAAGAATTTTTTATTTCAACGAATAAGGTCCTTTGCGTGCAACGTACAGCCGAATATTATGGATTTGTTTCCTTTCGTTCCCTTAGAACGAGATTGACTTCGCTCGATCTACTCAGATAATCATCAGCTCCTTTAGAGCAAGCTGACTATCGCTAGGTATATTAAATTTTCAGCGTATAAAATTTAAGAGTTTAGTAAGTTTCTCTGAAATATCGTTTTTGATCAAGAACTTTCATATATCAAGATCAACAAGTAAAACTGGGCTTGTATACTTTCAAAATATAAATTAATACAAATGATCTTTAAACTATTGAAATCTAGTTTAGCAAATATTTTTTTCGACAGTATCGATTTCAGCAATGTTCCTCAAGAAAACATGTAAGTTTTTATGGTAGTGTGGTTTAAATATAATTAGGTTTTCTTTCTCTGTTGAATCGTAAATATGAAATGAATATTCAATGAAATTCAAAGTAATTGACACATGATAACTTAGTTCTTAGTTTTATTTAGCTTCATGCAGCTATGTTTATAAAGCTCAAATTTTGATATTTAAAAAGAAATGTTTCAAAATGTATAATTTTGGCAATTATATAAATAGGGATAGTTAATATTTTAGTCTCATGTTTAACAGTA